TGGCTCTTCCCTCCAGAAGCTGCCTTAACAGTGAAGGTCTCTAGACTTGTTGCAGAGCTCTTGGCTTGTTGTTTCCACTTGTAAAACTAAACCTATGGAAATCACACTAATTGAGAATGGACCTTATTAGCATGTTGCACAGAGAGAGATACGCAAAGACTTTCTGCCTAGAAATAGCATATTGAAGCTTTTTTCTCTCAATAGGGGAGGGAAAAGAGGGGAAAGAAGGGACTGCAGATGAGCTATTGATACATCCCTCTCTAATGTTAGAGAATATCTTATTCAGAGCATGAATTGTGCTGCTTTCAGGAAGAGCCAGGATGGGACAGTGAGATGGAGAGTATTCTATGGGCAAAAGTCAACTTCTTTTCTATCATCAAGATCTGAGAAACCCTCCCCACTCCCAGACACAACATATGTAGATTTCTTGACTGAAAACACTTCTGTAACATGTGCCATTTTAACACAAATTGTCTGGAAACTAGTGGAAGGCCTGAAGTGGTCCATGGGGCAACTGGATGGTGCGGCCAGCTGATGAGACCAGATGTCTGGTGGCCTGGAAGCCTTTGTGCAGACAAGCTCATGGAAAGCATCAGAAGCTGCTGCACCCTGCTGAATCCTCTCCTTAGAGATGGCTTGGCGCTGCAGATGTTCTTATTTGTCCTGATTGTGACTTCATGGTCAGCATCACTCCGGGGTTTTCCTGCTGATTCATGCATCAAACATTGCTATTTGCTCTATTCCCAGACAAGTTTTATGGTTGTCACAAGATCCCTGGAAAGCCACACTCTGCCTGGTTGGTGCTTCTTGCAGGGTTGGGTAGCATGTAGAACATTTATGAGAGCAGGTTCCTGGGGCGGGGGGGTGAGGGCTTCTCCATTCTTTTCCGGCTGGCCTGCTTGCGAATATGACTCCCCTACTTCCAACTGTGCACCCACTTGCTCATCCCAATCTTCCTCCCTTCCTATTGGGAAAGAACCATGGAAGTGTTGTACTGCACTGCACCCAGTTCCACTGTACAGTCCCCAAGCAAGCCTCTATATCTAATTTGCTGGTGGGAAATGTGGGGTGAGGATTCTTCTAATTTCCCATTTCATGTCCTGAAGTCTTGCCACCCATATGCACACATTCCATACAGGTTGCTTCAGATTAAATAACTTATGAACAGGGAATGATGCTTTCTGCCTGACTGACAGAGCTCACACTTGGGACTCTGGGGGGCTGTGAATCACCATTTAAGTCCAGACTGGTGCCAGTGTACTGACCAGCACTGCATATCCCATGGAGACATGCATGTTCCAATGTTCCAATGCAACATCTGTGACTTTCTGCATCACTTCAAGCATCACTCAGCTTTCATTTCCCTGGTGAACATTGCCCATACTGCTGTCTGGTCAGCACCCCCACCCCATTCTTCTAGTTGGTCACATGTACCTTGCAGCGATCCTTTTTCTGACTCTCCCCCTTTCAATGTAGTAAGGCAAAATTACTCCAGAGAGTTCCCAGTAGAGTCTTTTTCTAGTTTCAGACTTACTTCTTCCCACTGTGCCATCTTGCACAGTAATACACAGCTGTGTCTTCAGCTTTCAGGCTGTTCATTTGCAGGTACAGCATGTTGGAGGGGTTGTCTCTGGAGACGGTGAAGCGCCCCTTCACTGAGTCTGCATAGAATTTCTGGCTCCCATCAGGGTATATCTTTGCAATCCATTTCAGTCCCTTCCCAGGAGCTTGTTGCATCCAGTCCATTTCATAATCACTGAAGGTGAATCCGGAGGCTTGACAAGAGAGGCGAAGGGACTCCCCAGGCCTTTTCACATCCCCTCCAGACTCAACCAGCTGGACTGCTGACTGAACACCTGGAAAGAAAGGAATTTCAAAAGGATCATACACATGTATGCAGGTTTATTATGTCTTCACTAAGATCACATCCCTTTAGGTGAAGGGAACAATTTACCTCCAATAACTGCTGAGAATAAGGCAAATTGAGCCAATAATTCCATTCTTTCCTCTACCAGAGTGCTGTGTTGTGTGAAAAGGGATTCCAGGTATACCAGAAGGTTCAGGTGGGTCAACAAATGCCTATGCTAGATTTTAAGAGGAAACAGCCCCTGAACATTTGCATAGATATTTTGATAAAAGCAACAGGGGCCTTCTGGGGAATCTATTGCTGAACTAAATCTGTTTCCTGAGCAGCAATAAGGTGTGATTATGGAGTCAGGGTCATTGAATCAGCATATATAGAATTGCTAATTGAACTGAGAAAAGTTGATCACTAGAAAACAGGAACAGTAGCACTGTGAAAAGAAAGGGTGGATTAGGTTTTCTCAAGGAATTATAAGCACACGGGTGCTGATGGACAGCACTGTAATTTGATTGATGTATTTATTAGGTGTTTTATATTGTAAGCCATCCAGAGACTGACTGTAATGAATGGGATAAAAATATCCTAATAAATACATAAATAAAATAATTATCACAGAGGAAAGTAGAAGTGGCCTGCAGATCCTTTTCTTCCTTCCTTTTCCCCCTTTCTTTCCCACCCCTCCCCTTCCCATTTGGGCAGAAGGAATTCATTAGAGTAAACTGTTTTTTGTTTGTTTGTTTTTTGCTATTATCCCATTTAGTCCACACAAATTCAATATTTGGGGCCATCATTTGGGTCATCTGGTCCTTGAGGGATCCATCGTTGGGGGCAAACCTTGTCTTGGTGGTAATCCAGATCTTTACAAAAGCACAATTTGAACCATCTTGACAGTGACAGTTTGGTGTATTGTGCAGCATTACCTTGACCACAGCAATTTCTTTCTTCCTCATACAAATTGTGATCTGGAAGTCCTGCTTTCTCAGGAAGTCTAATTATCTTCTATTGGCAAAGAGAACTTGAGCCTCATGTTTTCCTGGTCTGCGTCTTCTGTGCTCACCTCAGATAAAAGTTGCCAAATCAAAGGCACACATGCTTCTTGTATGATGATTGAATGTGGTTACTCTGGAAAAAAAATATTAAGTGGAAATATTTGATTCCAAGTGATATTTAAAGGCCTTTCTGCTCAAACTGGGCTGATGCTTCACTGTAGCTTCTACAGGGTTGGAAGTTGGTTGTGTGTCCTTTGTCACTTTGGAGGGGCTCATGGGAAAGTCTCTTGAGGGCACAGATGCTGTTTAAAGGCAATCCACCACAGGAAGCAGTCACCATGATGGTGGAAACCACAAAACAGCACATGGGGATGACAGTTTCCTTCATCACTTTGCTCCCTTTCCTTTGTGCCTAAACATGATGGAATATTTATCAGGTACTTGTTGCCCCCTTTTGGGATGATGGAGGAGAGCAGTCCAGTGGTCTGGCCATAAGGTGAGCTGCCTTTGATGCAGCAGAGAGAGATTAACATGCAAATATATGCATCTACTTAGGGTAGTCCTTCTCACACATATACCTCATGAAGTAGGAGGTCTGTTAGCATGGCTTTGTAGCATCCTTCTGATGAAAGAACTAAAGAAAATGAAGTCATACCTCATGTGTAATGTATGGATCTCACTCTTAGAAGTGGTGGAAGTGCATTAGAGGACTGAAGGGGTGGTCCTAGGAGTAGCCGCTACAGTGACTCATGGCTGAGGCCCTGAAATGGGACTTGCAGGTGATGCATAGTGTGACAGTCTGAAGTCCTACCATGGGCTTTCAGGTGGTCTCAGTTGGATGGTCTAGAGCTTCTGTGCAGGACATAGAGGGTCTAGAGCTTCATGACAGATGCATAGATGGTGGCAGATGCTGCCATGCCCAGACAAATTAACTTCACAGAGATGCACATGCTGTTGGAGATGTTCCTACTTATCCATGATGATACTAGTTGGTCTACAGGCCACCCTTGGTTTTCTTTTGCATTCAGGAGTCACACATTTGACGCTTGAATGAACATGGCACATTTCTCCAGCAAGTTCCATGGTTGTGACGCGATCCCTGGACAGCTGCACTCGACCTGCTTTGGGCTACTTCCAGACATGGGTGGCACATTGAACAGTTGTGAGAGCAGGCTTCTGTGGGTGGCAGCATTTCTGTGGTCCACTCTGGTTCACCTGCCCATGGCCCTAAATTCGCATGTTCTCCCATTCCTATTCCTTCCTTCCGGATTGATACAAACTGAGGATCCCTCCACCCCTTGCACACACACACACCCCACTTAGCAGTTCATGTCCAGTTTTAGTTCTGACAAGGCACCACCACTTGGTGAGGCATCATCCCATCTCACACCCTGGAGAGTTACCCTGTGGTGGAAAGGCTGTGTAGATCTGCACTTGGCATGAAGATAGTTGCCTGGGTGGTAGAGGCTCGTGATGCAGAGTCCATGCCTGCCTGCTCCCATTCCAGCGGTAAAGTATTTCTCTGCTACTTGGGTGGTGCCTCTCACACGTCTGGATGATCCCCATCTGGCCCTGTGCACCACATATCTCTCATTACATCTCTCTCCTACAGTGGACTTGGCTGTAGGCATTCCTTGGCACTGGAGGAATATGTGTTAGGAGAGCAGGTCCTTACACCAGGTATGATGCTTGTTGGGAAGGGAATGATGGGCCCATAGAGAGATTGCTGGTTTTAAACCAACCTTTTCAATGACCTCCTTGAACTTCTTCTTCAGGGCCTACAGACTGTCCTTGCACTGGGCTGTAATGCATGAATAGCTCTTTTTTTTTAACCAATGTTCTGAAAAGAATGAGGAAATTGTAGTGTGTGGACCTCATGTAACCCAGGCCTCGGGCTGGTCATTAAGACAACAGATGTGTCCTCTTTTTGTGGACATGGAAGAGAGAAACACTGGGGCAGATGAACCTGGATTAACCCACAGGAGGCTGGAGGCTGGCCAAGAAAGAACCTTTGTTTATTTGTAGTAATTAGTGCATAAGAAATTTCCTTAGTAAATGCCTCCAACATTAGTAATTTCTGCATGGTTGTCCTCTAGTGCCATCTCTGGAGATTCTTTTCTAAATGAAACACATTGAAAGGCTTTTTGTCAGAGGTCTAATGGGATCTTGGTCATTGTGTCTCTGGCACAGTAATAGACAGCTGTGTCTTCTGGGTTCAGATTGTTCATTTGCAGATAGAACTTAGAACTGTCTTTGGAGGCTGTGAATCGCCCTTGGATTGTTGGAGAATAATGATTGCTTCCAGAGCTGTAGTAGTGAACAAGCCATTCCAGTCCTTTGCCTGGCTTCTGCCTGATCCAGTCCATCCAGTAGCTGTTGACATTAAACCCAGTAAGGTCACAGATTAGTTTATGGGATTCTCCAGGTTTTTTCACCACCGGATCTGACACGGGCAGCACCACTTGAGCGAGGACACCTGAAATGGAGGAAGAAGAAGAAAGAAACCCTTGAAATGTTGGGGAACAGAGAAGAACGTGAATGTTATTGTGTGGAACTGATTGACAGAAGGCTCTTATACATAAAGCTGAACATACACAAGGAGGAGGCAGCCAGTGCAAGGAGCATTCCCAAGAAGGACGGCATTGTGGAGGGATGGGTTGAAGCACCAAACGCTTGTGTCCTATGCTGAGAACACTGTGCACAGTGAGAAGTGCTGAAGGCTTAAAAAGGAAGTGGATGTGCACCTGGCTTTGCATATTCATTCAGCATAAGCACAAATACTACTAACTCAGGATGAAAACCATCAAGAAGGCAGAGGTTTCCCTATTTTGCAGATGGGAAGAACTCATGTATTGCACTCAGGTCCCTGACACTGGTTACCCAAAGCAAATTATTCCATCAGTCTTTGGTGCATTCATTTCTTGAGACTCAGGGTGCTTCAAAGAACGATAATTCACAGAGTCTCTCCATCTCCCTGGTTGTTTCTGTGAGGGAGAGAATGATGTGTTTGGCCTGGCCCATATGTTCATAGGTGATAGATATTTCTTGCGTGTGTGTGTGTGTATATACACACATGAATCCATGCTTGTGTTCAGACAAGTATGTATGATGTATGATGTAAGTATGTATGATGTAAGAGGATATAGGGGAAATTTCCACTGGACCCAGCAGGAAGCCAGACTGATACTGGTTTTCTCATAAATATTTATGCATGCAACACACTTTTTAAATGTAAGTTTATCCAGGCAAGATGTTCCACCATTTCAGGACAGACATGTACACATAAAATTTATCATCTCTGTTTCTCATTTAAAAAAAATGCAGCAAGACTTGTCTCTAAACAAGAGGTGAGCAAATGAGCAAAATGGAAGTTCATCAAAGTTTTCCTAGTTCCATCTCAAAGCTTGTTCCAACTTATCAGTTGAGCATATTGTATGATTTTCCAAAATCATATGCCTCACTCTTCTGTGTGTATGAATACTTATTCTTATATTCAGAGAAATTCTGTTGCTTCTACTCATTTCTTTATCCATGTGTGATGCATGGGAGGAATTAAAACTACTTTGCTTTTCAATACAAAAAGACAGGAACCCTCTCTGAGAGTTGAACCAGCAAGGAGCTGTTTCAGTATTCTTCTGAATCTCACAATTGAAATCATGGCCAGTTTCCCATTAGATTTCACTGAGGGCCAACATGGGTTTTTGTATCTCTCTCTGTTCTGAGTCTATCAATTCTGTTCCCAAACATCATATGAGCTTTAAAAAGCTTTCTAGCAGGATTGTCGAATTATTCTACTTTTTGCTTGTTGTTTAGCTCACATTCTTGGCTTGGAAAGAGTCTAAAATGACCTGTGGGCAACTTTGCTTTGCTCCTGTGTTTGAAGTCCACATGCCGACACACGTAACTATTCTTTATTCAAACTTGGGAAATTGTATTCCAAGACAAGAAAGTCACCCCATGGTGCAGGATAAAGGAAATACTCTTCTGAGACCATGCAGATGGATTCGTTCTGTCTTGCTCACATCAGTATCATGGATTAGCCTGTGATAAGAAACTCATCAATCAAACCAGAGGGAAACAAAATATAACAAAAATCTCATGGTACATGTTGACGAAACCATGACTCATGATGACTCAGGAAGAACCTGCTGGACTGCCTGCTTTAGCTTCAGGGACATATTGTGCGGTTTGGAGAGACTTCCCTAAGTCACAACCACCGTAATGGTTATAAAGTCAAAGCTGGAAATTGGGCATGATAGACCTTTGGTGGATGTCTCCCACATTCCAAGCAGTAATCCTTCTTCTGATTCCAACTTTTGATTTACTAAGCATAAAAGATCCCCAGTGAGCTTCTTGGAAGGTTTTGGCCAGGCTTCAGATTCACCTTCTCACATCGTGACTTTTGTATAGAGCGAGGCATGCCCTCAGCTTTCAGTTTGTTCACCTGTAGATGTACTTGCAGGGTTGTTCCTGGACACCCCCATTCAGACTGTCCCCACATGACTAAGAGGATGCTCACCCATTCCAGTCCCTCTTCTGGAGGGTTGGTGTACTACCAAGAGAAAGAGAGAGAGGTGTTTCTGCAGTACAAATTGAGTCAATGCTACTAAGTGTCTAAGGTAGATTCAAAGAGGAAGCAGTCTTAAAATTTCCATAGATATTGGGATAACAGCAGCAAGACAACTCTTTGTTATCTATAGCTGGAAGCAAGCTCTGTCTTGGTAATAATCCACATCTTTACTACTGCACAATTTGAACCTCTTTGACCGTAATGGTTTGGTATATGCCACTGGCTAAGAGGACAACTTTTCATAGCATTTTGCTTGTCTTAGATCTGGAAGAGTATCTCTGTTTTTAAAGTCCTGCCTTCCCCATGAGTCTGCTTCTCTCACAGTGGCAAACAGAACTGTGTCTTCATTGCCTTTTGATGAAGGAGAATATTGCTTCTTTGAAAAGTCCACCTTCCTGATTTTCACTGTCAAAGAGAACTTTATCCCCGTGCTTTCTTTATGCACCTCTTATGGGTCACCTCAACCCAAATATTTCCAAACTGAAGCCAGAAATGCTTAGTGGTACTCTAACTGAATCAGTTAAATCATAGAATCACAGAATAGAAGAGTTGGAAGGGGCCATGAAGGCCATCAAGTCGAACCCCCTGCTGTTGCAGGACACCAATTTACACCACCCCACTCAGATGGCTGCCAAGTTTCTTTTTGAATGTCTCTAGTGTGGGAGAGCCCACCACCTCTCCAGACAGCTGGTTCCACTGTTGTATTTCTCTGACAGGGAGGAAGCTTTTCCTGATGTCCAGCCTGAATCTGAGTTGTCTGAATTTGTCGCAACTTGAATTGATTATTCCGTGCCCTACACTCCGGTATCAGTGAGAAGAGATCTTGACCTTCTTCTTTGTGACAGCCTTTGAGGTCCTTATAGATGGATACTATGTCCCCACTCAGTCTTCTTTTCTCAAGGCTGAACATGGCATTCCCTCAGTCTTTCCTCATAGGGCAGTGTTTCCAAACCCTGGATCATTTTTTTAAATTTTATTTTGCCCTCCACTCAGTCAGAAAAAGTGGTTTATGAAAAATAGACATCATGGATGCAGGGATGTAATTAGCAAGTATAGATGCTATTTAAGCAACCATGCTTACTGTACACTGCAGTGCCTACAGAGTGGGGAAATGAATCACCTCACTTGACATTACAGAGCATATCTGGGGAAAATGCCCCTTGGGGGAATTAAGCCCTTGAGGGACAGAGGCAGTTTTCAGGCAAACTGCAACAGCAAAATTTTATGACAGCTGGAACCACAGAATGGCACACATAGATAATTATTCAGTCATGCATTTATTTAATCTCCTTCATGAATAAACACATTTCAAAGTTTTTTCTGTGCATTTGCTGCCCCCTTTTGGAATGATGGAGGATAGCAGTCTAGCGGCCCAAATATGGGAAGATTTCATGGGTGGAACACAGGGAGAGTTACAAGCAAACCCACTCATCAAAGAGGGGCTGCAGATGTTAGACAAGGAAAAATAGAACTGCTCAAGAGGCAGAGAGAGTGCTCCCAAGAGAGAAACCCTCTTTTAGTTTCTAACTTCCTCATTTGTTACAATTAATGAATTCCCTAGGTCTAACAACTAACTAACCACCTGGTTAAAACTCAAAAAGACAGAATGACCACGAGGTCCACTTTCACAGTCTGTATCCACACTGAAACTCAAGATCAAGCAGACTTTTACCCTTGTGCTGCGTGCAAGGTTTCTGCCCTCCCTGGCCTCACCTTGGGACACCTGTATTACAGTCAGACAGGTGTACTGCCCTGATGACCCAGCTATGCTGATTTACAGCCCCCTGTAAATTCGCCCAGCTAGGAGCTGCTTTTTGTCACAGGCAATAGCATTTTGACCCAATGATTGGTCCTCACCACCTGAACTGGATGGATATTTGGACGTTTGCCTCCCTGCCTGGGCCACTCTCTCATAGAACCTTCAATCATTCAATTCTTTATTTGGTCATGGAGCAGCCAATAAATAAAACACAAAGTGACAATTAGTTAAAAATAAGAAAGGTACAATACTAATGAAATTACAGTAATTTTAAACAAAAAAGTAAAAGCATTTTAAACAAGAAAGTAAAAGCAGAAAACACCCATTCCCAACAGTGTACGGAATGACTATGCCACAGGGAGGTTATTTAGCAGAAAGTATGGAAAGCCAAGATAGGAAAATAATCCATGTAGAGCTCCAAGCTGAATCCTGCAGTGGAAACTGGGGTTTTAAAGAGCAATCCTATGAGATAGTCTAGTTCCCAGTTAGGGTTCCCAGATCTGAGCTCAGGGAAAATGTTCTCATTCCACCCACATGACCCTTCTGCTAAGTGACTGCATCTTATCTAATTGCTTCCCACTGGAATTCCTATTAGGGAAAATGGAGTAATTCATCTGCCACTAGTGATGCTAAAGCAATGCAGAAGGACTTCTGCAGCTCTCCCTATAATTATCTACGCCACTATAATTAGTTCAGTACAGCAGAGCTCCAGCAGCTTTTGAGCAGATGCTACAAACCAAATGAATCAACAACTGAGAAAGTTTGTATAAAATCTTCTCTTTCGGCCATACAGAGTTGGAAAGATGGACGAAAGGCAAGCTGGGGTCTTTCAGATTGAACTTGTGAAAGTCGCCCTTTCCGTTGCACACTTCAGCTTTTAAGCCAGAGGGCATTGGTAGCAGTTTGGGGCAGGTTCACATGAAACATAAAGATAAGGCTGATAGGTTTCTGTTGAAAAGGAGTATTGGTAGAAGCTGTTGATCCCCGTTGCTGTTGTTCGAGAGAGACTGATGCTAGTGGTGAAGCTGCAGGTTTTTTAACCATAGGCAGTTGCCAGGGTTCAGGCTCAAGCAAACACAAGGAATCTGCTGTAGGTAGGAACGTGCCTGCAGGGATGATGCAACTCCTGGTTTTCTTTCTTCTTCTGACTCTCAAAGAATCCAAAGGATATAACAAAACGTGTGCCAGAAGTGTTCCCCTTCCAGGTTCTCATGAATGGCACCAGCCAGGGATCTTCCTCCTTGGCGGGATTATGTCTCATATCATATATGTGTTGAATGAGGTTTCCTTTAAGAAGCACCCATCTAAGGAGCTGGGTTTTGATTTTCCATAGTAAGATATTCCTGCATCTCCTTCATGTATCACTCAAGCTCAAAAAACCTAATTAATGTCAAAGAGAGAAAATTACCTATCTGAGGGTCAACATATTTCTTTCTGCACAGTAAATAACCTGTAATGAGTTTCATGCTGTTTTGCTTTTCCTTCATATACCCAAGAAATTTTCCTTCCATAGGTGCCCCTTGAATATAGAAAAATGGGGTCTATATCCCCTCCCTTCCTTTTCTTTATTGAAGAGCAATGTAAAACATGTTGTAAGAATATAAGTAGCTACTCTATACCATCTATAAGCGTGGCAACCTTGACATGTAATCTGAGGAAGTCATTGCAAAATGCAGTTGACATTGCAAGAAATGGAGAAAAAGAAATAGAAGCTGAACATGCTAAATTCTGCTGTAAGGCATGTCTATGGTTCTCATGTATAGAATACATAACACATGGTTCCTATATAATTATAGGGGTGCAGAAAGTTATTACCTTGGAAAACATTTTAATGTGCTAAGTGAATCAATAGACAATGAAAACTAAAAGCTCCAATGGAAGCAGTGGCTGAGTCTCCCGTTTGGGTTTTAGCTCAAACCTCCGGAGAATTATCCCAGAGTCAAACTCAGTTATATTTTAGAGACAGCACTGTGATTTTTTTTTTAAAATTCAGAGTGCAACCCAAAGCAAATGTTCTGCCACATTGACATTGGATCTTACAACCTCAATCGCCATTAGGTTGCTTGGAATGTTTCTGCGTGTACTTGTATTAGTATATTTGATGTACTTGCGATCTTTTCATGCTTTGCTTTAGGTAATATGACATCTTGATAAGCAATTGCATGCATTATAGAACTCATTTGTGAAATTTCATCTGCAGCATGGTGACCAAGTTATACCAGCATCTCCTGGCTTTGGCAGTTGCTGTCAATGAGATCAATACAGATGCTAGGATTTTGCCCAATGTCACCCTTGGGTTCCACATCTATGAAACTTACTTCTTTGAGACAATGACCTATCGTAGCACTCTGGATTTCCTCTCCAAGTCTCATGGCTTCCTCCCCAACTATGAATGTGACAGGCAGAAAAATCTTGTGGGCATCATTGGGGGATTTGCATCTGATACTTCCTTCCACATGGCAGATATTTTAGGACGCTACAAGATTCCTCAGGTAAGAACTCACAATGGGATAGTGTACCGTAACCTCCCTCACATACGCACACTTACACTTTTAAACGCTTATGTCATAATTTTGTGTTTCTCACTGAGCGGATGATTCTCTGAATTGAATACTGGAGTAGTAATATTGATAGGAAACAACATTTCCTCCAGTGTGGAAAGAAGTGAACTGAGGAGGAAATGGTTTCAGGCTGTAGGAGGATATCTGCTTCAGGGGTGAGTGATGGCTTCTTGATTTTTTTTCTTGCCATGCTGCTTTCCTACATCAGATTCCTACATTTCTCAACAAGGTGTCCTTTGCTTAACATTACAGCCTCTCATTAATTAAAAAAATGTGGATCTTGCTTCACCAAACAAGAGTCACTGCATGTCTTCCTTGTCTATCACTAGATCTTCTATATATATTCTTTAGCTGGCCTATGGCTCATTCCCCCTAGATCAAAGGGGCACAACTCGCTTCCCTTCATTCTATCGCATGGTCCCTAATGAAGTGCATGAGTATTCAGGAATTGTATACCTGCTTCAGCATTTTGGTTGGACCTGGGTTGGACTCTTTGTTGTGGATGATGATAGTGGAGCATATTTCCTGAAGACCTTCGAACCTTTGCTCTCGGAGAAGGGAATCTGTTCTGACTTTACACTTCGACTTCCACGCCACAGTCGAGTCTTTACCAATAATGAAAAGGATGTTAGGTTTGTAAGTATGTTGGAATCTTGCATGAATACTACTGCCAAAGCATTTGTTAACTATGGTGATATTATGACTATTATGTGGCTGGTCACCTTCAAATATTTATTGCTTCCTGATTATATGGAAAGTGCATTTGTTGGCAAAGTGTGGATAATGACAGCACAGAGTGAGTTAATAGTAACAGGCATTACAAGAAGACTAAATTTAGAAATGTTTCAAGGAACAATCTCCTTCACTGTTCACTCAAAGCAGCCTCAAGGATTCCAGGAATATCTTCAGAACTTAAGACCTCAGTGGACACAAGCAGATGACTTCCTCCATGTTTTCTGGGAACAAGCTTTTGAATGTTCATTTCCAAATCCCCAGGAGCTAATACAGGATGTCAAAACATGTCTTGGGGAAGAGAAGTTGGAAAGCCTTCCTAGAACTGTTTTTGATATGCATATGACTGGCCACAGCTATAGCATCTACAATGCAGTCTATGCTTTAGCACGTGCTCTGCACTCCATGCACTCATCCAGGGCCAAGCACAGAGCAATGGTGAGCAGGAAAGGGGTTCATCTTGACCATCTTCAACCTTGGCAGGTAGATTTCCATTACCCAGTGTTTTTCCATGCTACAAATAATGCAATGGAATTGTATGCAACTTCGTTGTCCAAGCAATGATGCATTGTCAGGAAGACTGCTGATCACAGATGTTTCTACACAGAGTACTCTGATTGTGACATAAGATAAAACATAGCAGGAAATGCATGTTGGAAAGAGATAGATATAAAGAGATTGCCTACTGACTTCTTCCTTAAATTTAAGTGGGTGATCTGCTAGATTTTCACTCATCAGAAAATAGAGTAGACCAGTAGTTATACCAGTGTTCACATTAGTGTTTATAAAAGTTGTAATGAGGAGAGCTAAGCCAACAGCTGGGTAAGTCTGTCTGTCTGTCTGTCTGTCTGTCATCTACACATGCATCCATATTTGGGTTTATGAGGGAGCCAGCTTTCCAAAGATGAGGAGACTCGAAGATCACGCACCTGAGCTCTCAAGATTCAAGTATCAGCTAATTAAGCAGCCATGTGAGATTAGCAATAAAGTCAAGGGCAGTTGACTCTGTAGAAGGCAGGGATGCTATTAAAGATCATTATAAGGAAAGAATGGCAAAGACGTGTGTTAATACATTATCCTCATTCTTCTAATAAAAGGATCAAACCCATTTGCCTGTTAGTCACACCTATAACTGTAAGGTGACAGAGGCCAGAGCCTCAAAGGACACACAGTGTCTGAACAATTCATCCTACAGGACCAGGAAGTCTGTCCAGTGTAATGTTCCCTGAGTGAAGTGAACCCCGATGTATTAATGATGCTCCACAAGATGGAAACAAGAGGTGGCCCCGTGTGTAAGTTACATACAGCTGGTAACACTACTGGCTGAGGAATACAGTGGGGAGTAAGATTTTGTTTCCTTCTTTCTAACCATACTTTCAGTTGTACCATTCATTTTGGCATCTCTGTTTCTCTCCATGGTGGAAAGAAGATAAAGAAGGGACAGACTGTAGGCCACCAATGGTAGCTTAAAAGCCAGGCCACCTGCTAAGGCATCTGTCTCTACAGATTGGCAGTCTACTCACCCAATGTACTGGTACCAGCATGGGACCCAGTCAATGGGTCCCTCCACCACTCCACCACTGGGTCCCTCCCTTTCTCCCCACCTCATACCTGGCTGATTAAGACCACACTTCCAGCTCTTGCTGGGAAGGGTATGTGTGAAATAATCACATGGGCAAGTTGGTGCCTTTCTCATTTCTGCCCAAGCAGACAGAAGCAGAAAGGATGTGGCGGGGATGAAGTGTAGCTATTTCACAGCACACACTAAAGGATCCAAGAGTTATATATGTGGCTAATGTCTGCAATCTCAGCAGCATGAGAGCATTTGGAGAAACATCTTCTCTTGAATGTCATAGCCACACCTTATTTATGAGTTTTACAGGTAGGGTACCAAGGGACTGGCAGGTACTTCTCAGCACACCCGTCTTGTGTATTGGCATGGACAAGCGAAAGACAGACAGTTCTCTGAGTGGATGCTGAGACAGTGTAGCCCCTCCCCTGATGTCCTGTTGGCCCCAAACTGTTCAGTTTTAATCAGAATTTACCAAAATTTGTGCAGCACTTCATTTTTACAGTCAGAATTAAACAACACACTAACTACAATCACAAAACTTGCCAGAGGTAGAGAATGGGGGTGGGGAGGAGGGTATGTGTGGGAAATCAAAGCTACCAGATAAATAAATATCCAGGAACAGGTTGAGTACTTAGCTCTTAAAAGTTGGAGCTTTAATTCCTTTGTATTCAACCATGACGTGTATAATTAAGTAAGAACAATCTCTTCTGCTTTTGACCAAGTCCTAATCCTATACAGCTAGAAGCAGGGAGCATACTTGGATCCAAAACATTGTTGTCCTCCTCATATTGGGAAATATTGTACCCACCAAATGTGACTGGTGACGATGGGTGAGATTGTTGCTGCTGCATGATTTGGGGGTTTGGGGTAAGAAGTTAGGAACATATTTGGGAAACATGCAGCTGGATGCTCTGCTTTATTTAATGGATGTAGAAGAAATTTAATTGGCAAAGTTCGTTCTCAGTATTTGCTACCCCAATCAGCTGAGAATACTGATTTTGCCACAGATTGAAAAAGGGACAGCCCTGAAAATGATGGGACAAAATTACATGCCATCCCAAATAGGGACAATTCAATGAAGTAGCAAGGAAACTTCATAAGCATAACATTCTCTCTCTCCCTCTCTCTCCCCACACACCCACTTTAACCCATCTAGCTGCACCCATACCTTCAAGAAAACTCATTTAATAACTCAGTGGGAGAGCAAGTATCTTTTAACAGTAAAGGAGAGATAGATTCTGGATTTGATATAACCAATATGCTTCTATTTCCCAACAACTCCTTTGTTCAACTGCAAGTTGGAAGGGTGTATCCCAGAGCAGTCGATGGAAAACAATTTATCATCCACGAAGACATGTTTGAGTGGCAGAGAAACTTTAATCAGGTCTGGAAACTTTAGTACTCTCGAAGGACACTCTTTTTTTCAAGATAGGGGATCTTAGTGCTGAATGTGACAATTCATTAATAATTTGACCATGAGTAGGGAGGCATGTGCTAGCTGGATGAAATCCGCCAAATCTCACATCTACACCTGTTCCTTTCTGCACCCTGATAAATACAAATTTGTATTTTTTAAAGTTGTGCATTTTAACACATAGTGTGAGCCAATTTTTTATTTTGAAATCACTCATTTCACGCATGGACTTCAACTGCAGATCATGTTTGGATCTATGGGGAATGCTACATTCCATGTGGTATAAGCCCAGTATCTGCATTATTGAATTACATTCAGCATTTGAAAACAATGTAATCGTTTCCATTCAAGTGAAATCCTCTCTACCTTAAGTCCTGGAAAAGGATGTAAGATCCAGATACAAAGCTTTATCAGAATACATTATGTCCAGTTTCTTGTGGGGAGCATGAACAGTACAGGACTAACAATCTTTCTGGACATAGAGGGACTTCAATTGGTGCAAAATAGAGCTGCCAGGTTGCTGACGGGGACGGGGCGTTATGCTCACATGACTCCAGTCCTCCGTCAGCTTCACTGGCTTCCCATTGAAGCCTGGGCCCAATTCAAGGTGTTGATTATGACCTATAAAGCCCTAAACGGGTTGGGTCCTGGCTACCTGAACGAACGCTTATGTCTGTATATGCCCAACCGCCCTTTGAGATCTGCGGGAGAGTCACTTCTCCAGGAACCCTCCATGAAAGAAATTAGGAGAGTAAGTACTCGGAGGAGGGCTTTCTCTGCGGTGGCGCCCAACCTATGGAATTCACTCCCCAAAGAGTTCCGCCTGGCACCGTCGTTACTGGTTTTTCGGCGCCAAGTAAAGACCTTTTTATTTAAACATTATTTTAATTGTTAAAACATATGATCTGGCCAGGGCAACTTCTTTTCCTTCTCTTTTCTCCTCCTATATTTTTATTTACTTATTTTATACTGATAATTTTAATTTTATATTTGTAACTCAGTGTATTTTTGTATTTTTGTATTTAATGGTAATTTATTATGTTCTATTGTATTTCAATGTATTTTATTGTGTTGTAATCCGCCCCGAGGTTTTGGCAAGGGGCGGCATAGAAATGTAATAATAATAATAATAATAATAATAATAATAATAATAATAATAATAATAATTTGCCATTATTAAATTCACCTTTGTTTCTGCATTTCTCCTTGCCCTTGCCCTTCTCCTCCTATTTTGGTGGGGAAAGTCTGCCTTTTCTGGTCTCTTTCATTCCATCAATCCCTCTTTTCTGTTTGACCTCTCATGGATTGTTGATTTTTCTCCTCCATGCAGTTTCTTTTGCAGAACCCAAACACCCTCTTAAATCTTCACCACCCTTCCCTGCACTTGATATTTCCTTCAAACCCCTTTTCTCATCAAGGTACTTTCTCTTGTTTTACTACAATTTCCTTCCCCGTATAAGCCCATGTCTCTGCTATGCCCTTCTGTTGAGCCCCATGGCCACCTGCCGCTCCCACCTGGGATTTCATCCTGGCAAATCTCAAGTGACCTCCTGCTGTTCCTCAATGTATCCTGGCTTGCTCTCCCACAAACTTCCTTTTCCTCCCTCCTGGGCTGAACATAAAGGAGAAAGAAGACAAAAATATTGGATGCAAGTAAATTGGATGGGTGTTGTGGTCAATATTGAAGCTTGGGAAACTGTTGATAATCCCAGACCTTGTAGCTCATTTTTGAGGTCGGTTTTTTTCTCTGTCCATAGCAAAACAATAGGATCCAGAAATATTTGTGGCTATGTTCAGGAACATATTGTCCATTCTACACTTACTTAGTTATTTCATGTTCTCTGTGCACACATATCACCTGCTCACTTGTTTCTTTCCATTTCAGTTGATGAATTTTCCTCTAACACTACATTCTCTCATCTAATTTCCAATCATTTTTCAATGAATAGGTGCTTCCTGTTTCTGTCTGCACTGAGTCCTGCAAGTTGGGCTTCCAGAGGAGAAAGCAGGAAGGAAGGAAATTTTGCTGCTTTGATTGTGACCCATGTCCAGAAGGGAAGATTTCCAACCAAACAAGTGTGTAACTGTTGGTGGATAACATTCCAAATAGCTAGATTAATATAAAGCTAATCATTTATTAATAGTCATCATGAGATGAAGATTGGGGGCACAAAGTTATGTTTTGGGTTTGTTTGTTTGTTGTTGTTGTTGGATTTTTTCGGTGAACATCTCCTTTGAATTCTTACACAATATTGAAGGCTTTTCTGATATATCTGAAGTAAAAACTCACAAGCAAACCAAGTGTCATTAGAACAATCAACCAAATTTCATAATTTCAAGTACTTTAGCTTTGCAAAGCCAAAGAATGATCTTTCTTTCTCTCTCCCTTTTGCATCCTGTATAATGAAAGGATCATGGGGAAACACATTAGGACAAAATGCATCCTCTTCCAGACCAGCATGACCTAACTTGAATGAAAACAAATGCAAGTACCTCTCCTTGCACAAAAACATCAAGCCATGGAATTATCTAATGCAAGACTTGGTGATGGGTTCAAACTTAGCTTTAAATTGGGTATCCAGTTTCATGGAAGATGGCTATCGATGTCTCTAGTCAAGTCAACATTCTCTGCCGAAATGGCCAGTGAAAGTCTGATATTGTGTACTGGCAACTGGGGGATAACTGTGGGAGATGAAATCTTATTATCTTATTAAAGGCCCTACTCCTTGTTCTCTTCGCCTCCTCCTCCTCCTCCTTCTCCCCCTCCCCATCCCCCTCCCATCGCCCTCCTTGGTTGTCCCATCTTTTACACTGGACATGATAATTTTTCACACTTCCTTTTCAAATGAATATGCAAAGAAGGTGGTCATGGTGGCAGTAATGAATACAAGCATGCATTTGATATATAGATACATGCACCTCAGAGCAATAAATGGGCTCTTGCTGGACACTGAAACAAAGTCGTTAGAATAATGTCCTTGTCAATAAGACAAATATGACTTCACAGCTCTGTCCAGCTTAGAGGTGCCAATCAGCACAGATGTCTTCCAACAAGCTCTGTTTTTGGGATTGTTGTGCCCATAGACCATGAATAGATTTTTATCTCACAATGTAATACAGCTGACAATACTATTGATTCAGAATGGATATGGTGGTGCATTTTAACCTATTTTTCTGAAAAAAACCGAGCTCCATGCACAGAATCAGGTGGTAGAAGGAGGAAGCACCAATATTTCTAACATCAAATCATCTTGTGAGAAGCAGATTGATCGACCATGTATCTAAAGTTTTCTTTCCTTTTTTTTCCAGACATGGCTGAATGTTTACAATGCCCGGATGATTATTACTCAAACAAGAGCAGAGACAGATGCATCCCCAAAGTGATAACATTTTTATCTTATCAAGAACCTCTAGGAATTGGCCTGCTGTCAGTAGCACTTTCTTTTTCACTGGTCACAGCCTTGGTGCTTGGAACTTTTCTTAAGTACAAAGATGCCCCCATAGTGAAGGCCAACAACAGGGACCTCACCTACACTCTACTCACCTCCCTCCTGCTTTGCTTCCTCTGCTCCTTGATTTTCCTTGGCCCACCTGGCCTGGTCAACTGCCTTATTCGACAAGCTGCTTTTGGCACAATCTTCTCCCTGGCCGTTTCCTGTGTATTAGCAAAGACCGTCACTGTGGTGATGGCTTTCATGGATACCAAGCCAGGGTCAAACACGAGAAAGTGGATGGGGAGAAGGCTGTCTGCCCTTGTGGTCCTTACCTCCACTTTGATCCAAGCAGGCATTTGTGCCTTATGGCTGGGAACTTTCCCCCCTTTCCCAAATATGAACATGCATTCTGTACCAGGACAGATCATTGCAGAGTGCAACGAAGGCTCTGTCATCATGTTTTACTGTGTGCTGGGCTACTTGGGACTGTTGTCCATCGTCAGCTTTGTGGTGGCTTTCCTTGCCAGGAAACTGCCTGACAGTTTCAATGAAGCCAAGTTCATCACCTTCAGCATGCTGATGTTCTGCAGCGTTTGGATATCATTTGTTCCAACGTACCTGAGCAGCAAGGGGAAGTACATGGTGGCCGTGGAGATCTTCTCCATCTTAGCTTCCAGTGCTGGCTTACTGGGTTGCATCTTTTCCCCCAAGTGCTATATAATTTTGCTGAGGCCAGAGCTGAACAGCAAGGAGTGTCTTGTAAGGAGGAAGAAGTAATGAAATATATTATTGTATACTTTTACTTTTGTTCCCCAATGCTCTGTCCTAGATTAGAAGCTGTGAAACTAATTTAGGATTCTGCTCATCCCATTTTTGCTACTGATAATTTGCATTATAAGGGTGGATCCCCACATATATATGATGATCTCCAGATCACTTTTCAAACTTCAGCCATGTGATTTTGATACCCACCACCTCTTGCTTCGTTGCATAACAACTTCCTCCTGTATAAAATTGAGGCTGCACTTCATAGAGATGGATATATTTACCTTAACATTTCCTCTGAAGCATTCCTCATGTATATTGTTAATTTTACCCCATCAAAAGATGTAAAGGACCTTCCCTTAATATTGAAGTGAAACTCAAGAATTGCAATCATTTGCTTGCCCACCACCATTTACTGCTGTCTGAACATGGATTACTCCATCCCTGCCAATCCATTTCATTTGTTATTACTTTGTGGAAGGTAACTGCAAAATGCAGTTCCTTCCATTTTCTCTCTTTCATCTTTCAAAGCCAGTTGTGTAAATTCTGGGTTGGTGGCTTTATAACAATCCAACATTACTTACCATGGAACCAAAATGTCAGATTCTTCTACCCCATGCTCTGGAATTGACCCTGAGTATTTCTTTGATGTAACCCTACCATCTTAGGTGCTCTTTTTCTGGTCTCCTCAAGCACAACCTTCAAGATTGAAGTAGCCATCAACAATATGTGGGTCCCCTTCAGTCTTTAGATAGCAAAATAATGTAACCCTTCCTTTGGCAAATGAACGGACCTGAGGCGGTACTGTTGCAGTGTCTTCTGGCAGGGAGACCTTGCTTGGGGGAGTCGGCTGACTGCTGCGATGGACAGTTGAGTGGAAACAATGATAACAAGCACTTGGCTCTTTTTAGAACCACATCATTGACAACAGGACTTTTTCAAAGAGCAATTCACATTATTAGTCTTACTATACAAAGACTAATAGCGAATGGGTCATGCCATCAGATGGGTTGCTTTCTTTCAAGCTGAGATAAGCTTGCCTGGCTTTTAAGACCTTGAGCAGAAGCCTTCATCCTTGTAGCATCACCTGGTGAAGCACATTTGTCTGAGATGGAAGATATGGTCTTTACAGAGAACTTTCTCAACTTCTGACACTTCCTGTTAAAAAGCTCTAGTTCAACCCTTAGCCCCCTTTTCCCTACAGCACGAGGCAAACCCATTTGTATTAATATCTGCCTGTACAAACTCATCTAGTCTGTTAATTCTGGGAGAGGGGGGGCTATTCACTTATTTGCTTCATTGCATGATTTCAGTGTGTTTTGATCGACTTTTGGTTGTATTTTCACTATTGTGTTTCTTTCTGATCTGCGTGCTATGGTTTGCCAGCTGGGGTATCAAGGGCATTGATGGGATGAGGGGAGTAGAGTGTAAAAGGAAGAAAGCCAGTCAGCCAGCCAGACGGACAGACGATGGCAATAGCTGTTTTTTTAACTCATTTAGCTTCTTGTAACTCATAGGTGTCTCTCCCTATGATTATCCACACCAGTATAATTATTTCAGAGCAAGAAAGATTCAGCAGCTTTTGAGTAGATGCTAGAAGGAGAATCAAACAACAGTTCATAAAAGTGGTTATAAAACCTTCCCTTCTGCCTTTTAGAGACAGAATGAAAGGAAAGAGGCAGGCAGAGCTGTTGGTGACTGAATTATCGAAACTGTTCTTTTTCTAGTATGGTTCTGGTTTCAAAGCAAAGCATAGGTTGTTCTTTTGGACATAGTTCTGCCATATTGTTCTGCCGTAGTTCTGCCATATTGACTTAAAAGATAAGGCTGAAACACTTCTGTCTGTTGGTAACATTTTAAATGCAGTAATATTCATTGCAACTATTAAAATGCAACTGATGCAAGCAGTGAAGCTGCAAGCAAATTGAGAGAAGTAAAGTGGCATAAGTTAGATGCAGTGGAGTCTTCTCTCTGCTGCAGGCAGTTAAAGGAAGAAAGAAACTTTTCTTATCCACTGTAGGGGTTAGACTTGCAGCTAAGAGGTGGTAGGCAAACTGTCTGCAGCAAAGGGAGTCTGCTCAGGACAGAATGCAACCCCTGACTTTGTTCCTTCTCCTGGTTCTGCGAAAGTGCAGAAGTGATAATGGAAATTGCCCTCGAAGCGATCCCCTCCCAGTTCATCATGAATGGTACCAGCCAGGGATCTTCCTTATTGGTGGGATTGCCTCTCATATCATGTATATTTTGAATGAAGCTTTCTTCAGCAAGCACCCATCAGATGAAATGGGATTTGATTTTCCAGTGTAAGATCCTTATCCAACTTCTTTAATTCTGCATTAAACTGAATTAGCATCAGAGAGTGAAAAGGGGCATTTTTCAAAATGCATTTGTGTGTTGGAGTATTTCTTCATTGATCAAAGATATCATACTGTACAAATTATATATGGGGAACCTAGGATGCTCTCCTTTAAAGGGATGCTCCCCTCCACAATATGGGAAAAGGGCTCTTTGTTTTATTGGTATTTTTCCCTATGTGAGAGGGAATTGAAATATTATCTTTGCATGAAAGTGTCTGAGAAAATATTCTTTGACTTCAGAACTGGAGTGTTTGAGAAATCATCTTCAGGTGGATGCTAAATGCAGAAATATTGGAAGGTTTAATGGGGAAAAAAAGCATCCAAGTTGAATATACCAAGGCAAGACCAGTGTGGTGTAGTGGTTAAGAGCATGGGAGTGGGATTCAGATGATCTGGGTTCTAGTCCCCGCTCAGCCATGGAGCCAACTGGGTGACTTTGTGCCAGTCATAGACTCTCAGCCCAACCTACCTCAAAGAGTTGTTGTTGTGGGGATAAGATGGAGGAGGAGACTGATGTAAGCTGCCTTGAGCCCTTTGTAGGAAAAAGGCAGGATATAAATTGAAAAATAAATAAATAAATATTAAAAAATAAGACAATCATCCTAGGCAGTGAAGCTAATTCGTGCTCAGTAAGGGAAGAGGCAAGGGAAGAACATGCTGCACAGCCATGGAAAAGCCTCTATGCTGAGCATTGTACTTCAGAAAAAAAAATGATACAATCAGCTCTTAAATGTCATCATTCATTTCATGGTTATGTTTGATTATTTCTATAAAACTCAGTTCTGTCTCTCACACAAATGCTATGGAAAATAGGTTTCTAGGTAGAGTAAATATAGTTCAGTGCATGGGAAACAGCATGATGACATAGAAAATCATTAGCCATGGAACTCAGATGTAATGTGTAGTTTGACCCAAGAATCAGTGTAAATTGGTTACTCTGATTCCAGTGTTTGACCTTTTGCGATTTTAACCTGAACTTTATGGAGACTGTTCACTAAAGCTTGGCAGGTCCTTTAAAAATGTCATGATATCTTGTTTGAGAAATTTATGAACTTTGGAATATATGAATGAACTGTCCACTGGATTATGCCATGGCTTATGGAAGCAGAGGCTATCTATCAGTGGTGAGTCATCACGGTGGCAGCTGGTGAAAATAGCAGTCCCCCAGGGCTCAGTTTTGGGACTGACTTTGTCCAGCCTTTTTATCAGTGAACCAAGGAGGGGGTAAGCAGTCTTCTGACTGAGTTTGCAGGTGATACCAAAGGGGTACTGGTGGCCACAATGGAGAAGCAGGCACTTCAGATCCAAAAGGTTCTGGGCAGACTGTGGAAGTGGGCAGGGTACAACAGGATCTGGCATTCAATACAGATAAGTGAAGAGTTTTGCACTTGGGACTTAGGAATAGGTGCCATAGATATAGGGTGGGGAAAACTGCTGTTTTCCCATGTGGTGGAGAGAAGGACATCTCCAGTGGTGCAAAGATGGAACTGCATTTTAGAATGAATGTCATGAAGAACTATCTGATGGTTAGCACCCTTAGAATATGCAATGGGCACCCACGGGCAGGTGGTGGAAGCCCCAAGAGTGAGGTCATTCAAGGAATGGTTGAACAACCACATGTTGGACATTACATGAGCAGAGCTGGCCCAGGAGGTCTGTTCTGACTCACTATGTTTCTGTGTTTCTGAACATAACCTGTACTCAGAATCAGGCATACATAGCACCTTCAAATTCAGGATGAAGAATTCTCTGTATCCTCAGCTCCCCTGCCATGACAAGAATCGGACTCAATTGCCACGATGCTGTTCAATGTGCATCTGAGACATTTAAAAAGAATTGTCTCACCTTTCAAGTTCTTTTAGGTACAGTTAACCAGCATCCTGATCAACAATTTAATGTATCACCAGTGAAATGTCATATCACTTTATCTACAGCATGATGACCAAGCTCTACCAGCACCTCCTGGCTTTGGCATTTGCTGTAAGTGAGATCAATAAAGATCCTCGGAATTTGCCCAATGTCACTCTCGGGTTCCACATCTATGACAACTACCTATTTGAGACAATGACATATCGCAGCACTCTGGGCTTGCTCTCCAAGTCTCATGACTTTCTCCCCAACTATGAATGTGGCACTAAGAAAAGTCTCATGGGCATCCTCGGAGGATTTTCTTCTGATACTTCCTTCCACATGGCAGATATTTTAGGTCTCTACAAGATTCCACAGGTAAGGGCTCAGCATGAATACCATCCCCCTGCCACCCTTGATAGCTCATCCCAAAAGTGGTGGTGGGGGTAATACAGTGGTTCCAAAAGATGGAGAAGTATCATTCAATGGGAGAAAAAATCCCTGGCATAAAGGAACAAAGTCAAAGAGGGAATGGCTTCAGACTCTGAAGGAACATCTCCTTCAAATCTAAATTGTACACTAGTAATTGACATTTTCTCTCTTTCTCATAAATGCATGTTCATAAAATTCTGTGAAGGCAAAGACACATGTTTCTTTAAATTTGTCAATTTCCACCAAAGCACGGCATTGAAACATTGATTTTCCCTCATCAAGTATGAGCCACTGCATGGAAAATTTTTCCTCCAAGCCAGTCACTAGATTTTCTGCCTATTTTCTTTAGCTTGCCTATGGCTCATTCCCCCCAGAACAAACAGACACAACTCGCTTCTCTTCCTTCTACCGCATGGTTCCTAATGAAGTGCATGAGTATTCAGGAATTGTGCACTTGCTTCAGCA